GAAGAAAGGCCTCGCAATCTACTTACAAAAATCAGCCAGCGAAAACCCTCTGGATCCCAACAGTCCGATCTGCAACTGTTCATGGGAATGGGGCAGCATTTCATTCCATTGTGCATGGGGTCACCACGAGATGGGGGTTGACTTGCTAACAACATTATTGGCTGATGTCATTATTTCAAACATGATCTCATTTCATCCTCCCCACAACCCTACGAACCTATTAGCCCCTGTTAGGAAACAGAAAGTCGGCACAGATACTAGTTAGTTGCTTGACCAAGATCACCAGCCAAGAGAGACCCAAGCCTGGTCTGACCCCAGAGCTGAGCTCTTGGCCCCAGTGTTATGTTCAAGTGCACCCAAGAGTTAAAACAGCCACACACCTGCATGATAGTGTTGCTATCGCGGTTATTGTTATTTTTGTTACTATGTTTTATTGTTATGCTGTTGTGGTATTGTTACTATTGTTAACGTCATTGACGTGGAGCGAGCCAGGCTGACTTAGAAGGCTTCCCTGGCAGGCTGGGCTGTTGCTGAGGGCAGTGCTCCTGCAGGTTTGCCTTCATTCAGACCAGACCCATCCAGCTTCCCCCTCTTAGTGCCAGCTGGCCAGTTGGTGCATGCTTGGGAAGAGACAGGCCTTGGTGACCCTTAAGCCTCTGAAGATTGGGGCAGAAATGGCCCACAGGCCTGTCACCCACTCCCAACTTGCTCCTAATTTGGAGCTTTCCAGAGAAGCTGGGGTGCTGCTGACACTTATCTGGCACTGGGTGAATATCTGATGATAGGAGAACTGATTCATTCTATCTACCAGCCCAGGCTAGATACAATTTGCAAGGTGATGTTAAAGACGAATGTCACAAAGTTATGCACACACTGAACTCTACTGAGCAGGGACTTAAGTCTCACTGGCCCCACCCACACCTGACCCAGACTGTTAGCAAGAGAAATGATCACCAGGTCAAGGTGAAAGTCCCAGCCTTCTGAGACTGACTGAAGAGAAGGTGCCCCTATGGCTGATTTTCCTTGAATTTGGACAAAGAAGAGCATCAAGGAAGATAGGAATCCTTTCTGGGCCAAAGGGACAGACCACACCATTCCCTCAGGGAGCTAACAGTCTTCTGAGTCAGGAAGTTCTTTCTCATGTCTAGCTTGCATCCACCCTGCTTCACTTGAGTTCTGTTTCCTTTTGCCCAGTCCTTGGGGAAAATAGAGACTAGCTTCTCCTCCACTTGCTCCTTCTGTTCCTGATTCAGGAAAGCAGGTAGTCTCCAGGTCCTTCTTTGTGTTATTATTAACAATGCTATGCTCCCCGCAGATGCTTAAAGGAGCAGCGAATGTGGGTTACAACTGGGAGGAAAGGGAGCTCCAGGGGAAAGTAGCTTTGAGCAGATAGTGTAGAAGCCAAGTACAGGAGATGATCTTTCAGGACGGGGAGAAGGACATTGTATTTTCTGGTTAATTTCCTCAGCCTTGGAAACATTTCTAAACCCAGTGGCTGCAGAGATTCTAACTGGAGGGAACAGGCCTGTTCTCTTAGCTCTGGAGCTGGGACTCAAATGTAACTGAGTATCGGGTCTCTGCCTCCTTTCGGTTCTATTTTTGAGAGGCATTTGGAAAACTGAACTTCAGACAACAGAGCTGGTCTGGTCTCACAGGGTTTTGGATCTTTTTGGGTCATGGACTACATTGAGAATTTGATGATTGGTGAATGAGTGGATGTACACCTCAAGCACTGCAGGTCTATAGGTCATGCTTCCAGGAGCCCCCAAGCCTAGAACTGATTGGCAGTCTTACTGAACCCCAGGAAGACTTGGTCTTTTGCCCTCTCCCCAGCACCCCCACAGTCTCTTCCTCCATCTCCAAGTAAGTGGGATTTCCATTATAGAGGAGGACTAAGGCATATTCTTAACACCTCTCCCTAATGCCTTCTTTCATGATGCTTGGCAGAGGAGGCCAGGGGTCCTCCCATTAGTCACCCCTGCCTCATTCCCAAATGGAGCCCCGCTCCTTATTCCTGAAGTTCAAGGTTGCATCTTTCAAGCTGCCCCTGTGTAACTGACGTAGATGGCATGAAAGGAAATGGCCATAGTCCTGCCATGACCAGATTTCAACAGTGACTTCAAGTGTCTTTTTGGTGGCTCAAGGCCTCCTCTGCCTCCTTCCTGCAACACTGACCTCAAGAGTTTCTACTGACCAGAAGTACAAACTCTAATACCTAGTTCTCGTGGAGCAGCTGGTGGATTCAAACTGCTGACCTTTCAGTTAACAGCTGGGTGCTTAACCACTGTGCCACCAGGGCTCCTCAAGGGGACAGGTAGGTAAGGTAAATCAGTGAAGGAGGCTGGGTAATTTCAAAACAGAACACTTAATGTGCATATTAAACATTCTTCATTTTCACAGACAAACGTCATCTTTCTCATCTTTCCTAACTGTTGTGAGAAAAGCAACAACACTAATGTTATAATAAATGACAATGGACACTGGCCTTAAGGACAGGGAGACAATAGGGAGTGGTGGGGATTGGGGCAGACTGAAGAGCTCATACCCTGCCTAAAGGCGACTGCTGTTACTCGGCCCATGCTGACTGCTACCCCATAAGAATATGGGCACAATGTGGTCAGACCGTCCATATTTTTGAGAGAAGCTGTAAATATGATATTTATGTAAAATTTTGAAACATTGGCAATAAATTCAAATTGTAACATGTCTCTTAGGACAATACAAGACCTAACAAATCCTGTCTTTAGTCTGGATCCGGCCTGAAGCTTCATCTTTCTGTTCGTTCTTTGTCTTGGGAAGTTTCATATTATAGAAACGCTTCTTCATTTTTAAGAAAAAAATATATAAAGAAAGTTTTAACTATATTTGTTCATTTAATCATTAACGGATAATCATGGTTTTGAAGAATGGTTTTGGAAGAATGGGATGGATTGACACAACAGCCCAAACAATGGACTCAAACATACCAATGATCATGAAGATGGCGCAGGATCGGGCAACACTCCATTCTGTTGTACATCGGAGCTGACTCGATGGAAATTAACACCACCACCACCAAAATACTCAGAGGGTGGCCTTGATTTTTGAGGACAGCAAGTAGGGGTCCACATTTGTGTTTGCCCACCAAATATTCCCAGGTTTCATTGCCAGAGGGAGAGTCATTGGCCAGTGAGACCATGGGTCTGTCCTACTGCAGAATCCCTGATGTCCTCACTGTCCTGGCCAACCATCAGCAGCTAAGAATAACAATTTCCACCAGGCTCTGGAATGTCCCATCCTTACTTGTAAAGCTATATGGAAAGGCTCTCAGCCATTGCTTAGATGAGTTGGTGAAAGGTGCTGATCATCCATCAAGCATCAGAAGGAAGAACTTGGCAACCTGGCCTGTGTCATCCAGGGCTGCAGCAGGGTTGGACAGTGATCACCTAGGAAGTGGATGACCTGCAGGGTGACCTGGGCCATTCTCCCCATTCTGACCTCCCATTGGTCATTCCACCCATATAAAAAAACAAAAAAACAAAAAAACGCATTGCTGTCGGGTTGATCCTGTCTCATGGTGACCTCATGTGTTATGGAGTAGAACTGCTCCATAGGGTTTTCTTGGCTGACATCTTTGTAGAAGCAGATCGCCAGGCCTTTATTCCATGGTGCCACTGGGTGGGTTCGAACCACCAACCTTTAGGTTAGTAGTTGAACTCAAACTGCACCACCCAAGGACCTCATTCCACCTATATATCAATGCAAAGCAGAGGATGGGTGGGAAATTCACATGCTTCACTAGAATTGCTTTGGCCCAGGTCCTCTATGTGCCCAGGCAGGTGAGAAAAAGCCTCTGCTGGTCTCCAGCCAAACCCAGCCACTTGGGAAATGATACTGACTCAGTTGTCAAAAAACATCTCAGCAGACTGGCACAGACTGAAAAGTTTGATAGCACACTGGGTTGGCGAAGCAGCGGGGAAACAGTCTTCTACTCAGCTGGAGCAACTGGGACAACCTCTATGGTGAGCAGTTTGGCAATTCCTGCCAGAGTTACAAACGTACATCATGGCCTTTGACCCAGTGATTCCAACTCTAGGAATTTATTCTCTAGATACGCTTGCCCATGTGCCAACTGAGCTAGCTGTGCAATATCATTCATCATAGCTCTGCGAGAACAAAATATTGGTAATGGCCCACGTGTTCATTATGGAAGACTGGCTAATAAGTCATGGCATAGCATACAATGGAAAATTATACAACTATGAAAAAGCAACAAGGACTCTCCTTACCTACTAATCGGGACGAACCTCCAAAATATGCTGATAAGAAAAAATACATATATAATATGTATAGTGTACTTTCATTTCTGTGAAAATAAAACGTGTGTGTGTGTCTGTCTACCTGTGCATAAAATATTGCTAAAAGGACACACAAAAGCTATGAATATTGCTTGCCTTTCAGGAGTGAAACTGTGTGGCTGGCACTGGGGAGAGAGTAAAACTTTTTACCACGTATCTTTGAAATGTTTTAAATTTTGAACCATGTGAATGCATTTCCTGGAGTCCCTGAGTGATGAAATTGGCTAAGTGCTCGACTGCTGACCGAAAAGTTAGCAATTTGAACCCACCCAGAGGTGCCTCAGAAGAAAGGCCTGGCAATGTAGCTCCAAAATGAGAAACCCTATGGAGCACAGGTCTACTCTGAAAGAAATGGGGTCACTGTAAGTCGGAATTGACTCGACGACAACTGGTTTGATTTCTGTTTGGTTTGAAGGCATTTCCTAGTAAAAACAGAATTAAAATTTGAAAAATGGCAGGCTCGCAAATAAAACAAAACGAAAGCAAAGTCACGATCCATTTCCCAGGACGAGCAGTGCTGGCCTCAGCCCTTCAAGCTTTCCAGCCATAGTGGCTGTTTCCATCCCAACACAGCCGGGGATTTGGCTTCCCTTCCCTCTCTCCACACCCGGGAGAGTTCAGGGAGCTGCGTGAGCATTGTGCCAGGCTGGCACCCCCACTTACCTGCTCCTTCTCTGAATACGGGTTGTTGAGGACGACAGGCACGTTGCCATTCCCCCACAGGTCATTGAAGACGCGGTCGTTCTCCAAGCCAAGGGGCAGTGGCTTGTGTGACTTGCCGTCCAAGTCTCTGGAAGGCAAAGTACAGGAGGTGAGGAAAGAGGGGATGCCAGGCATGACCAGCTGGTGACCCTGGCCTGAAATCCTGAGTGTGCTCAGAACCTTGGTGGTTCACTTACATGACTCTCTACAGGACCAGGAGGTTTGGGTGACCAGCCTGCTGCTTCGTAAAGTGGCCAGTGAGTCCCAGTTGTCAAGCATGAAAGTGAGCTCATTCAAGTGGGCACAGATGGCTGGCACACACACCCCTCTTGGTGGATGTGGCTTCAGGATTTTGCTCATCTCTCCACCTTCCCGAATTTCACAGATGTGGGAACACAGGAGGCCCATCTTCTAGTGCAGCCCCAGGTACTGTGACACCCTGGACACTGTAGTGGAGTTCCTGTGTGGTGCAAATAGTTAATGCACTCAGATGCCAACAGAAAGGTTGGAGGTTTGAGTCCACCCAGAGGTGCATCAGAAGAAAGGCCTGGTGTTCTACTTTCAAAAAATCAGCCACTGAAAACCCTATGGAGCACAGTCCTACTCTAACGCACGTGGAGTTGCCATAAGTCAAAACAGCAACTGGTTGATTTTTTCGTTTGGCTACCGTAATGCCCATGAGCCTTAACAGTGGGGAGAGTAGGAGGTGAGAGGCGTAGGGAAGGTCCTGTGAGCCAGGGTCATTCCAGCCCTGACTAAGGCTTTGAGTGATACCAGCTGAGGCTAAAGAGAAATGATTCTGAAAATAAGGGGAATACAGCAACAACAATATAACAGTGTTAATAATGATAGCTAGAGTTTGTTAAGCACTTATCATGTGCCAAGCACAGTGCTAAGTACTTAACATGTATTTTAACTAATCTAGTCTTTGTGAAAGCTGGACAATGAATAAGGAAGACTGAAGAAGAATTGATGCCTTTGAACTGTGGTGTTGGAGAATACTGAAATACCGTGGACCGCCAAAAGAACGAACAAATCTGTCTTGGAAGAAGTGTGACCAGAATGCTCCTTAGGAGCAAGGATGGTGAGACTACGTCTCACGTCCTTTGGTCATGTTGTCAGGAGGGATCAATCCCTGGAGAAGGCCATCATGCTTGGTAAAGTAGAGGGTCAGCGAAAAAGAGGAAGACCCTCAACGAGATGGATGGACACAGTGGCTGCAACAATGGTTTTAAGCATAACAACGATTTTGAGGATGGTGCAGGATCGGGCAGTGCTTTGTTCTGCTGTACATGGGGTCGCTATGAGTCAGAATCGACGCGATGGCACCCGACAAAAACAACAGTCCTGGTGACAAGCCTAAGAGGTAGGAAGGATTATTACTTTCCATTATACAGATGAGAAAAGTGAGAGAAAGAATTAAGTTGCTCACACAGTTAGTGGCAGAGCCAAGTATTCTAGTCCACTCTTCACATCCATTCTAAAGTAGAGGCTCTCACTATTGCCGTCTGTTATCATGATCCTCATCAGTGCCACCACCACCATCACAGCCATCACCACGATCATACCATATCACTATCATGACTATTGTCTTTCTCCTCCTTACCAGTATAACTATCATTTCTACCATGATCACCGTCACCATCATCATCACCATAACCACCATCATCATCACCATCAGTATCATCAACAACGTCATAACCAACATTACTCTCCTAATCATCACCTCCTTCTCCTCATCAGCATGACCATCATCACTCTCACAATCACCATCACATGACCACCATCATCACATCATACACATCATTATATCATCATTATCATCACACTCATCATAATCACCATCGTCATTACTATGATGACTGGCATCACCATCATCAACATCCTCCTCCCCCCCTTCATCCTCACCATCATCAGCATCTTCACTGCCACCACCATCATCCTCACAATCACCCTCCGATGAGGACGTGGGGGTTCAGAAAAGTTAAGTCATTAGACTCAGTCACGCCGCTAGTAATGGCGGAATTGTGATTTAACCCAGGTTTGTTCTTGACTCCAGAGCCTGACCTCTTAACCACTAAGCTTTCCTGGATCCCCGCCCTTGGACTCTAACAGGCTCAGGACGAAGCTATGGCAGGCAAGTTTCCTTAGCCTGGCCATCCTCGGAGACTGTGAGAAGTATCATGGCTGAGATGTGGCTTTGGGTCAAAATCCAGATCTCCCCACCAGCCCTGTCTCCTCTCTGTTCTTCTGCCGCATAGGTGCTGCCCTCCTGTTTCCTGACAGCCTACCTCTGTTTGATCCTCCCATCCAGTTTTCCTGACTACAGCATCTGTCTGTTCCCCAACTTGGCAGTGCAGCTTGCTCTGTTGCCCATCTCAGTTTGGGTCCCAGGGTCCAGGCTGGCCCTTGTCTGGCCCTCTGTTCTATGTTCTCAGCTTTGAGGACTCCTGATCCTAACTCCATAATCTGCCTCCCCTCCAAATTTGGTGCTGACCATTATTTGGGATGAACCAGAAATCAGGGCCAAGTCTATGTCCCCCCCACCCAGCTGCTCACCCAGGGCCAGCCAGATGCCCCCTCTGCTATGTTTAACATAATCCCAATGGTCCACGTCAAAGCCACTTCTGTTCTTCTCCTGCTTGGAGAGGTCTGCAATTGTCAGAGGGAACATTCTGTTTTACCCGCTTTTAAAATGTCACCAAAACACACCGAGAGCAGCTCTGGATTACAGACATTTCCCAAGTCAATGGTTTACCTATGTGGTGATAAACAGAGGAGATGTCTGTGGAGAGGCTGCTCTAAATGTCACTCAGCTCTCTTGTGGCTCTAAAACTCCCGATCCGACAATATCACGTGGCCATGAATGAGAATCAGCAGAGAAAGGTGGAGGCTAATCATTTTTGAGCACGTACCGTGGACGATCATAGATGCTCAAAAAACAGTAGATGATAGATGCTTAAGACATACTAAGAAGTCCCCGGGTGGTTCAAGGGGTTAACAAGCTTGGCTGCTAACCGAAAGTTAGCAGTTTGAGTCCTCAGAAGAAGGACCCGGTGATCTACTTTCAAAAAATCAGCCATTGAAAACCCTCTGGAACATAGTTCTACTCTGACACATGTGGGGTCGCCATGAGTAAGAATTGACTCCATGACAACTGGTTTGTATAATGTACTACGTACTAGCACAAGGATCCCTGGTGGCACAGTGGTTAAGTGCTCAGCTGCTAACCAAAAGGACAGCGGTTCGGGGTGGATTAACCAGTAAGCATGGTATGTAGTGGTTTATAGTAAACAAGATAAGCATGGGCTTAATTTTGTTTACTTACTAATCTGTAGGAGACCTGGTGGCGTGGTAGTTAAAGGTCAGCACTTCAAAGCCACTAACTGCTACTTGGAAACCCTCTGAGGCAGTTCTACTCTGTCCTATAGGGTTGCTACAAGTCAACCAGATGGCAAAGGGTGGTTTTGTTTTTTTTTTTTTTGGTACTAAATCTGTGGCGAACAATTTCACACGGCTTTTACCACATCGCATACCTTGCTTATTGGGTAATCCGTCCCTGCCTATTTGAACTCACCAGTTGCTCCACAGGAGAAAGACCTGGTGATCTGCTTCCCTAAAGATTACAGCCCTGGAAACCCTATGGGGCAGTTCTACTTTGTCCTATAGGATCGCTATGAGTCAGAATCAACTCTATGGCAACAGGCTTTTTTTTGAGGTACTTGTACAGAAGTTATTTCATTTTATCTCAACAGACATTAAAAGTTCCATGTTACAAATTTAAAAAACTGAGCCCAGAGAGGTTACGTAAGATTCCCGAGGCTCCACAATAAGCACTTAGCAGAACCGATATTTGAAAGCAGCTCTGACTGATGCTCAGCTCAGCACCCTGTCCTTTTTAACCCAGACAGGAAAAACGGGGCAGGATGTCCCTTCCAAACCAGAGACGACGGAGCGAGAAGCCCAACATCTCTTGCTGAATGAGGCCACTTTACAAAAATTACCACTAGCGAGGCAGCTCCAAAATGGATTCGGTGGCTTGTTTCTCTCCAGCTTTCCAGTGTGAATTTGCAGGAAGAGCTTCTTTTACTGCTATCCTTTTTTTTTTTTTTTTAAAGCCATTAACACCTTTGTTTAAATAATGTATTCACAGTGTTTTGCCAACACAAACTGATTTTAGACTCTGTGTGATGAGCAGAGGAGAATATTTTTAATACGAGGCCACGGGTACATCCAGGTTGAGCTATTCTGCTTCCGTTCACCCAGGAGCCAAATCAGAAGTAACTTTAGTTAGACTCCCAACCCACAAGCTGTCAGTGATAACCAGGTCTAAGGGCAATAACATATGGAATTATTGCCCCAAATCTGCTCTCCCTGGGATCTACCTGCTTCATGAATATAGTATGCTGGCTATGAACATGGCTTGTAGAATTGAATTAAACTGGGCTCGACTCTTGGTTTTGTTAAACGATGCAACATTGGACACTTCATCTAACCTTTCTCAGCCTCAGTTTACTCATGTATAAAAGTGACGGCAACAATAGGCTCAAACACAGTAACGATTTTGACAATGGTGCAGGACTGGGCAGTGTTTCATTCATAGTGACCCTATAGGACAGAGTAGAACTGCCCCACAGGGTTTCCAAGGAGTGCCTGGTGGATCCAAACTGCCGACCTTTTGGTTAGCAGCCATAGCTCTTAACGACTATGCCCCCAGGGTTCTGTTGTACATAGGGTCGCCGTTAGTCGGAACCACTTGACAGCACCTAACAACAGCAGTACTTAGTTCACAGGGTTGCTGCAATGGTTAAATGAGATAAAGCTTAAAACACTTAGCAGCGTGGCACCTGCTACTGCACTTACTATTAATTTGCTCATGAGCTGATTAGACAGAAACGGAGAAATTCTATTGGGGGCAGTGGTAGGATTCTCGCCTTCCATGCGGGAGACCTGGGTTCGATTCCAGCCGATGCACCTCATGCGCAGCCACCACCCATCTGTCAGTGGAGGCTTGCGTGTTGCTATGAGGCTGAACAGGTTTCAGTGGAGCTTCCAGACTAAGTCCGACTAGGAAGAAAGGTTTAGAGA